TGTCTGACGACATGTCCATATGAACAGGATCCTTCCATCCTTTTCACGGATTGGGACCTGTTCATATACGTTCTTGGCAGATGATCCAGAAGTGGTTTGCCATTGCCTTCTTCTGTGTGTGAATGGAGTAATTGTTGGGATGCCACGGAGAAACCGGGGAAGCCCCCTGAGGAAAACTCCGTGTTGCCTAGACCACGGCCTTGCCCAACACAAGTTATAAATTCGGGCACCGCCGGGAATCGAACCCGAGGCCCCAGGATTACAAGACCAGCGTTCTAACCTCTAGATGAATTGTTATTGGCACATTTCAAGACATATGAATAGCAAACTGGCAACAATCATCCTGTCAGGATAGCTGATACCTCAGTTTAGATGCGAACCCGATATCTCCAAGGAAAACAAGGCACCAGTTATGTCCTCAGTAATGCTCTGAATGGCTTTGGCTGTGGTATTATATCACTGCTTTGTGTTTTTAAATTTTCCTATCGTCTGTTGAAAGTTTTTTTAAGAAGTCTAATAAAGTAACAACGTTTCGAAGTAAGGTCTGTCGTTCGTTTTCAGGTGAAATAGGGGGACACCTACTCTATATGATCTGGTGCACCAGGCTATTTCTTCCCTGAAGATGAAGTAAGATTTAAATGAAAGGAAATTGGTAATATCTGCGGTTGAGTGAACGGCCCTGAAGATGTTCCAAGTCTTGTTGCTTTAAGAACGAGCATAAAGGCCTTATTATGTTGTTCCCGCGGTCCTTCTCTGCGTCTTCCTCCCCCCCCCCCCCCCCCCCCCCCAAGGTGTGACTTCACACCCCATTTCGAGAAATAAGTAAACATCCGGGCTCCAAAGCATGTTCCATGTCAGCGAGACTGTATTTTTTGCATAACGATACCGGAGAGGCAACGTTTGTGCTGTGTGACTCGTTCCAAAGAGTTCGTATGGCATACAAAAGAACATTTCACTCTTCAAGGACTTGACACTTTTGTATGAGCTGATGCCCACCAAATTTAATCGTGCCTAGAAACTTCTACAGTTCGTTTAAATATTGCATGTCGAATTTAGGAGATACATCAGTTTGGTCGTTTAAAGGTTCATTATCAGCTTCCTTTTGATTGTAGAACCAGGAAGACGAGTTTCGTGCGACGCCCATTCGTCTGCGACGCGTCAACTTTGTACATGAAACGTGTTATAAAATTTTAAGTCACCATTTTTAAGATGAATTCCGCTAAACTTGGTCATTTAATTTAAACTGAATAATGTCACAAAACCGTAGCCCATAGCTGTCATAATAGAAAGTTAATATTCTCATTTTGACTTTTATATTCTTATGCACGAGTGCAAAGATCTCTGTTTCCATGACAACCACCTACGACATCTGACAAGTAGCCGAATTCTGCAGTCGTTTTCCGAGAGAGAGACCCGTACCATCGCTGTTGTTTACAGTGTTCTGAACGTATTATAAAGTATACACTTTTTCAATTAGAGTAAGATTTGAGGTTCTCACGGTGGTTAGTACGAATATGGTAGGTAGCCTTCTGGTCATTTTCAAACAGGGTTGTAGTTTCGGGAACACGAAAATTCGCATAGGATAAAATCCGACCGAAGATTCCGTATTTTTATACAATAAATGCTCTTTCGTTCCAAAATTCGGGGTCTGCAGTATTTTGCATCTTTTGTTTTGTACCAATAAATTCATACTGGATAGAAAAAATAATAAAATCTGCTTAGAATTGGACTTTTACTTACACATTCGACCTCGGAGACCTTGAACTTAAGCGGTTTGTTTATATTTTTTTGAAGATTACGTGTAATAAATTCTGTAGTATTATTTCCCGCGTTTTCGTAGCTTTTGTTATTAATAACGTGTCCCTAAGACGACGTTTCATAACGACCGTAATTGAAGACGTGCATAAACCATAGTTAAATAAAGGCATTTTATGACTAAAATCGATCTCTGCCCGGACATATTTTGTAAAATTACACGTGAAACTTTCGCTGCACTGATTTATAAGCTCGCAAAGAATACTGACGTTTTCATCTCATAGAACGTGTGAAAGTCATTTCGACCCTGAATAAGGAGGCAGTACGTTTCTTCTAAAAGATGGTAACATAACATTTCGTCACCGAAAACTACCAGTGTCGCTTAATGATACGACACATTCTGTACAGTCGTCATAATTAAATTTGCATGCAAGTTGTGAGAGCGAAAATATGTCGTGGGTGTGAAGTTTCCCCACGTTACAGAAGAAATTAAAGTCGGCATGGCAAACTAAATCCGGATTCTGTAGCAACATTCATTCCCCTTTGCGTCGACAGGGTGACCCAACCACTCATCCGGTGACAGCCCTGATGTCCTCGCGTCTGACACCAATGGGTGCACGCGATTGGCGGGAACAACAGGATGACGATGACGGGAGGGGAGGAGGATATAAGTCATCTGTCACTTCCATCGGCAGCGAAGACCCCCTGTAATGCCCTGACATACAGATAAGGCAATAAGAAATCGTCTCTTGATAATGCACTGAAGTTGGCGTCTTCCTACGAACTGAGTTGTTAGCACTTCTGGAGTTCTCTGGTTCAAGACTGGGACCGCAGACTACTGCCTATCCCGACTGATATTCGTGGTTTTCCTAAGTCTCTCTAGACAAATGCTGGGATAGTGCGTTAAGTTAGGCAATGGCCGCTTCCTTCTGCGTCATTTCCGATTATTAATTTTGCCAATCCATAGTCCGAACTACTGACAGGGACGTTAAAAACATCACAGATGAATAAAATCCTTCTTGTGACTTGAGACACAGTGTAGTGGCCGCTTACCTCTCACCCTGCCTCGATTTTACACAATCCTCATCACAGAGAGTGAGATGGGTCTTACACGTAGCACGAAAGGGAGGCATTTTCATACAATTACATGTTTAAAGAAAATCTGTCAGATTACACGGCGCTGCAGCCCAGAAAGTTAAGTGAGGGTCTGCTGTCTTGATGAACTGGGTTCGATTCTTCGTCACTATGGCCACAGGTGTTCTAGAAATCCGGTTGAATACGAGGATAAATTCTACAAAAGTCTCAAGACGGACATACGTAGATCTAGAACGTCGAAGTCAATGTCTAGAGATTTACCACACTACTCTGTACGAACGATAAAAGTGCCCTGTGTTCTTTGTCAACATTCTTCAGTTTGTTTGCAGATATTTACTTTAGTTAAGTGGATGTTAGGAATTTCAAGATCGTTTGAAAGTTCTTGGCACCCACAATTAGTCACATTTTACTTCGTCAGACGTCTTTTGAATGATGATTTAATACACCGCAAAGCATCTTACTTCATAAATTTTCAAGGAAATATTAAGCAAGCAGCCGAGAATCTTGTGCCTTATTAGAAAACGTAATTCATATTTCCAAGGAAACCGCATAAAAACCTCAAGGCTCTGACGTAATGGACAAAGAAAGGCACTGCTGAAAACTGGTATGTGCGCGGTACTACATCAGAAACTGGTGATGTCACCACAATTTCACCACCCTACGCGTGGAATACACTTCGCTTCAAGTACACATTCATTTACTCCAGCGATATTTCTTTCAGTGAATTGATTTTTTAGTAAACCGGTAGCATATACATGCAAACAGGAATTTGTTATATCGAAGTTTCTCGTCTTTGATGTCGGTGATGACGAAAGAGAAGGAAATATACGTATGTACTATTCAGAATGAAAGTATCGACCGAGTTCGACTTTGCTCCGCTTGTGAAGTCTACGTGCTGATTTATTTTAGTATATTTAGTGAATAATTATTTTGGCATAGCCCCTAGTTCCAACGCAGGGAGTGCAGAGGACGTGTCAAATTCCTCATTTGCAGCTTTTTTTTTTTGAACGTATCTTAGTTGTCCTTTTCCAAAAAGTTTTAATTTATGACATTTTATAATATACAGACCAACAACATCTCCGCCTATAATTGAAGAATCGACTTTATTTTACACCAAAAAACTTTGTTATGTTTCGAACTACAATAATGCTTATTGTTTGACATATGCATTTTTCTTCAAGAATAGATATTTTATTTTGTTTTTAATTAAACTAGAATTATGTATATATTATTTAAATCTTGTCCGTCTAATCACAATAAAGTCTTATTAAATATTAAAATATTACAATAATTAACATTTAAAATATTAAATGATGTTCTTTATCGAAATATTCGATTTACATTAGACCATTCGAATAAATCGAATATTTCGATAAAGAACATCATTTAATATTTTAAATGTTAATTATTGTAATATTTTAATATTTAATAAGACTTTATTGTGATAGACGGACAAGATTTAAATAATATATATTTATTATATCACAATATGACGCAACTTTACTATCTCATAGAATTATGTAACTTAGGTTTCCTGTTGGAGTAACTAATGCAGTTCACAATGCCATTGAGATATTTTTTTTAAAAAAAGTAGAAGACTATTGCATGCCACGATGAATTAAATGAACGTAAACTGAATTCAGTTCCACACAATTCAAATTTATTTTTGACTTAATTTTAATGGCGTATGTGTTCGAATTTTTACTGATACAGTGAAGGTATTTGGAATAATTTGCTCTCTTCTGTTGCATGACAGAACATTTCAGAACTAGGTAGACCTCGAAATACTTAACGGAGAGATAGGTGGCGGGGTGCTGTTCACGGAAGAGATAAATAATTAGATAATCGAATCAGGGATGAGATGGACATGTAGCACGCATGAGAGAGGTTAGAAATACGTATAAAACTTTGGTAGAAAAGGGAACACTTGGAAAATCCCGGCGTACATGTGAGGATAATATTAAAATGTTTAAGGAAATATAATGTGAAAACGTGGATTGGATTCGTCTTGCTGAGTTTAGGGTACAGTCGCGAGCTAAAATATTAGCTTTACAAGAACAAACATGTTCCATGGAGTTCGTTAACACTATAAATATTCGTATCTCTTAGAGACATGTCGAAAGGAAGTTTAAGTGAAGCTTGTGCAGTAGAATGATTGGGGTTTTCCGTTTCCACCCACCAGATCATCACAGAACACTCCTCTGTCTTCATTTCCTTTCTACAACGTCTGATGCAATTTGCAAACAAGATCAACTTCGAAATAATTCTCTTTGTCATCAGCTGTGCCATTTCCTTCACCCTTGATGCAAGGGCATTGGAAAATTCCCAACAATAAAGATGCAGGACGAGGGTACAGAAACCCTTCAGAAATAGGGAATGCCTGATGAAAGGGGTTGTGAAATTACTTCAGTTGTCGAAGACAAGGCAACAATAGTACTGCGAGCTGTCGTGGAAATGGAGGTTTTTCCAGTTTTGTTATCTTAAAAGCATGGCAGTGTTACTGCCAGACCCCCCGCCTCGACGTTTGTTGATATACATGGAGTGTCAGCTGTCAAACACCCCCACTGACTGCCATACATTTGCGGCCTTATGGCTTGAAGTTATTTTCATCTCAAGAATGTCTGCTGAAAACTAATTTTACAGCTTTATTTAAAAATGCCACTCTGATTACAAAAGGTATATATTTTTAAAATAATTACGCAAAAAATTCTTCTAAATCCCAGGAAAGAAATTGGTCTTGGAATAAACAGATAATTTCTTAAGAACATGACACGAGATCAAAATCAGCAAAAAAAATTGTCATTATTTAATTATAGGTGGTCTAGCGGTTCTGGCCTTGTAATCCTGGGGTCTCGGGTTCGATTCCCGGCGGTGCCCGAATTTATAACTTGTGTTGGGCAAGGCCGTGGTCTAGGCAACACGGAGTTTTCCTCCGGGGGTTTCCCCGGTTTCTCCGTGGCATCCCAACAATTACTCCATTCACACACAGAAGAAGGCAATGGCAAACCACTTCTGGATCATCTGCCAAGAACGTATATGAACAGGTCCCAGTCCGAGAAAAGGATGGAAGGATCCTGTTCATATGGACCTGTCGTCAGACAGAACACTAAATAAAATAAATCATAAACCATCTGAAGGCTATTAACGATCCCGGTGAACACCAGTAATTTAAAACTGAAATTCGGAGCGAGATAAAATCTGTAAATCTTCGTTATTATTCAGTTCGAAAAGTATCAATATTAGTCTATTGTTCCATAGCGCTGAGGATCAGCGAATACAAAACAATTATGTAGTCACGTGTTTTAACCTGTATGGGTGTGAAACATGGTCCATTGAGTCAAGGAAAAGACATAAATCACAAGTGTGAAGATGACTGTCTTCTGGGTTGCTGCACGCCGATGATGGAGGCAGCAAGAACCTCTTAAACGCTGGTAAACGTTTACCAGACTGCACGGCGCAACAACCCTAAAGAGAGACGTCTCCATTCATACTCGTCGCCGTAAGAACCTCAAATTTTACACGTTTCTCTCTCTCTCTCTCTCTCTCTCTCTCTCTTCGTCACCTCGTCCAGACCCAACGGATACTGAGTGTACTTCACCCGGGGTTAAGGCAGCCGGAACGTAAGGCTGGTTACATATCTTAAATCAGTGCCTGGGTTAAGAATGCGTGAAGCTTTGCCCCACACGTGTTTTTGACGTGCCACTTCAGCACTGAGACATCTTTTACCTTTTACAGTATATATGCGTAGTCCCCATTCGTCACGAAACGTCTTAACCAAAATAAACTTCCACTAAATGGACTCCATTACCTAGAAGCCGAAGCTCATCTTAATAGTATTTAAGAATTCAGTCCGTACCGCAAAGAAAACACACCACTTCACCATTACAAAGATCAAAACGTTGACGCTGTTTAAGGAAATAATCATTCAAAACCCATGAGTACAATGTAGATTAATCGATTGTTAAAGGAGGCGATATACAGAATTACCACTGTGCTATGCTGCCCGTCCGTTATGACTACATGTCAGCAACCATGATAAACCCATCTCATCTGCGAACCTACGCAGCTTAAATGCATTTTCGCAAGCAGACATTCACTATGAAGCTACCTTGACACCAAAAAGTTAAATACGAGGTGCGATCGGAAAGTTTCAAGACTGCGCCTATAAAAACCCGTACACTTATCTCAGGTATTAAATTCATCCATCACCCTCGAAGTAGTGGCATGTGGGGCAGAAGACGGGCTTTTGTGAACACTATAGTGAATCTTAGGGCCTCATAAAATATGAATTTATTGACTATGTCAGTGCATTATATCAGCTTCTCAAGAAATACAGTACTCCACGGAGTCATTTCTCCTGTGCATTAAAACCTCTTACCTCAACATCACAATCGCGTAACCGCTAATTCCACGATGCAGTCTTGAGCAGTAAATCATTTTATCCATGAATACTGTCGAGGCTGTATTTGATATGGGAACAGATAAAAGTTCGCTTCTAATAGAAAGCTGACGATACTACAGAAGACTAATTTATTTCATTCTTCTACCGTCTGCCCGTCCTTAAATACACAAGACTAGGATGAGTCATACTACCCCAGTAAATTGGAAGAGGGTAATTTTCTGAAGAACATGTATACAACCCCCATATTGCTTCATCAAGCCAAATCCTTAGTAAAGATTAAATGTAACTCAGAGCTGTACAGTTTGTAGACATTAAATTTCGTACATCATGTCATGTTAGCCACACACCTTATTTTCTATCTGTTGTAGAGGCGACTTATCGTAATGGACCGTACAAGTTTGCACTGACCAGTAATACTACCATCTATGAACAGGTCCCAGTCCGAGAGAAGGATGGAAGGATCCTGTTCATATGGACCTGTCGTCAGACAGAACACTAAATAATAATAAGATGAGGTGGTCTAGCGGTTAGAACGCTGGCCTTGTAATCCTGGGGTCTCGGGTTCGAATTTATAACTTGTGTTGGGCAAGGCCGTGGTCTAGGCAACACGGAGTTTTCCTCCGTGGCATCCCAACACTTACTCCATTCACACACAGAAGAAGGGAATGGCAAACCACTTCTGGATCATCTGCCAAGAACTTATATGAACAGGTCCCAGTCCGAGAAAAGGATGGAAGGATCCTGTTCATATGGACCTGTCGTCAGACAGAACACTAAATAATAATAATAAGATGAGGTGGTCTAGGCAACACGGAGTTTTCCTTCGTGGCATCCCAACAATTACTCCATACACACAGAAGAAGGCAATGGCAAAGCACTTCTGGATCATCTGCCAAGAACGTATATGAACAGGTCCCAGTCCGAGAAAAGGATGGAAGGATCCTGTTCATATGGACCTGTCGTCAGACAGAACACTAAATAAAATAAATCATAAACCATCTGAAGGCTATTAACGATCCCGGTGAACACCAGTAATTTAAAACTGAAATTCGGAGCGAGATAAAATCTGTAAATCTTCGTTATTATTCAGTTCGAAAAGTATCAATATTAGTCTATTGTTCCATAGCGCTGAGGATCAGCGAATACAAAACAATTATGTAGTCACGTGTTTTAACCTGTATGGGTGTGAAACATGGTCCATTGAGTCAAGGAAAAGACATAAATCACAAGTGTGAAGATGACTGTCTTCTGGGTTGCTGCACGCCGATGATGGAGGCAGCAAGAACCTCTTAAACGCTGGTAAACGTTTACCAGACTGCACGGCGCAACAACCCTAAAGAGAGACGTCTCCATTCATACTCGTCGCCGTAAGAACCTCAAATTTTACACGTTTCTCTCTCTCTCTCTCTCTCTCTCTTCGTCACCTCGTCCAGACCCAACGGATACTGAGTGTACTTCACCCGGGGTTAAGGCAGCCGGAACGTAAGGCTGGTTACATATCTTAAATCAGTGCCTGGGTTAAGAATGCGTGAAGCTTTGCCCCACACGTGTTTTTGACGTGCCACTTCAGCACTGAGACATCTTTTACCTTTTACAGTATATATGCGTAGTCCCCATTCGTCACGAAACGTCTTAACCAAAATAAACTTCCACTAAATGGACTCCATTACCTAGAAGCCGAAGCTCATCTTAATAGTATTTAAGAATTCAGTCCGTACCGCAAAGAAAACACACCACTTCACCATTACAAAGATCAAAACGTTGACGCTGTTTAAGGAAATAATCATTCAAAACCCATGAGTACAATGTAGATTAATCGATTGTTAAAGGAGGCGATATACAGAATTACCACTGTGCTATGCTGCCCGTCCGTTATGACTACATGTCAGCAACCATGATAAACCCATCTCATCTGCGAACCTACGCAGCTTAAATGCATTTTCGCAAGCAGACATTCACTATGAAGCTACCTTGACACCAAAAAGTTAAATACGAGGTGCGATCGGAAAGTTTCAAGACTGCGCCTATAAAAACCCGTACACTTATCTCAGGTATTAAATTCATCCATCACCCTCGAAGTAGTGGCATGTGGGGCAGAAGACGGGCTTTTGTGAACACTATAGTGAATCTTAGGGCCTCATAAAATATGAATTTATTGACTATGTCAGTGCATTATATCAGCTTCTCAAGAAATACAGTACTCCACGGAGTCATTTCTCCTGTGCATTAAAACCTCTTACCTCAACATCACAATCGCGTAACCGCTAATTCCACGATGCAGTCTTGAGCAGTAAATCATTTTATCCATGAATACTGTCGAGGCTGTATTTGATATGGGAACAGATAAAAGTTCGCTTCTAATAGAAAGCTGACGATACTACAGAAGACTAATTTATTTCATTCTTCTACCGTCTGCCCGTCCTTAAATACACAAGACTAGGATGAGTCATACTACCCCAGTAAATTGGAAGAGGGTAATTTTCTGAAGAACATGTATACAACCCCCATATTGCTTCATCAAGCCAAATCCTTAGTAAAGATTAAATGTAACTCAGAGCTGTACAGTTTGTAGACATTAAATTTCGTACATCATGTCATGTTAGCCACACACCTTATTTTCTATCTGTTGTAGAGGCGACTTATCGTAATGGACCGTACAAGTTTGCACTGACCAGTAATACTACCATCACTCGCGTCTTATTACTAACATGACCGTGGACCATATATGGCTCGTGACCGACATTAAGTGGGCCATGCTCAACCTTGTGTCGCTTTATATGGGAGGTTGAAGACATCATACTGTGAACTGTTGTGTGTTAAAGATGTGTTTTGTAAACCCACATGGGTAGGGTTGAGAACGTTTTCGAGCATTCGAAACAAATTTTGGGGCACTTATTTTAATTATGAGAACCGATTAAGCGTTACTACTGTAGCCACAGCCCACCAATGTGAGATACGATGTAATTCACACAAGAAACAAAAGCTCGATTTGTCTAGGATTCTATCTCGTCACCATCATTGTTCCAGTCCAGCATGTTAACCCGCGAATTGTGAAACTGTATATTATCAAAGAAGGTCTAGAACTACTCCTTTATTACTACATGCATTTGCAATTATAGTGGTAGTTCTTGCTCCTGAACTGCATTTTTTGTTTTTTCGAAAATTTTCAAAATTCGCCTCACCAGAACAGCTTCCTGCTAGAACCCGTCTGTACTACAGCAGGTCTCTGCATGACCCGTTGACAGCCTCGCAAGCTCTCTGCCTTACTCAGTCTCTTCCTCAATAGGTCTCTGCCGGACAACGTGTATGCCTGAACCTGTCTCCAACGGAAGCGTTCCTTGCAACGGTCAAACAGAGACCGGATAGGCTAGAGACTGTGCACAGCAGAGTCCATGTCCGTCAGTGCGATGGTACGTCAGAGACAGACCACTCCAGAAAACGGGTCTGACAGGTATAAGGGAGGGGAGAATTTTGATGGAAATTTTCAAAAAGTCGAAAAATGCTGGAAATCTTCCAAATGGCGCACAAAACTAAAAAAATTGAGAAATCTTCATATAAATTTTTTTTGAAAATTTTTCAAACATTTTTGGTTTTGTGCGCGTTTTAGACATTTTCCAGCATTTTTTATTTTTCGAAAATTTTCAAAATTCGCCTACCCGAACCTCACTAGAACAGCTTCGTGCTAGAACTCGTCTCTACCGCAGCAGGTCTCTGCATGACTTGGTGACAGCCTCGCAAGCTCTCTGCCTTAGTCTCTGCCTGACACTGTCTGCCAGATAACGTCTATGCCTGAACCGGTCTCCAACGGAAG